CTTTGAAAAGTTGTGGGGACGTCCCGGGGCAAAAAAAAGGATTTCTGCACTTATTGAAAATTTTTTTTTTTTTTTTTTTTTTTTGTGGCAGTTTGGTGGTGTGTCCAGCACTCTTCACATTTTCAGTAAATCTCAGTTTTGTCCTTTTCTATGTTACTGGATGTAGAAAAAGGTTCATCAAAGGCCAGATAATATCCACTCTTTTTTTATGTCTTCTGAACCAAACAATCTGCACTGTGATGATCCTGCAAAATGACCTTGACCATTGCCTAACTCCCAGGCTTAGATCTTATTAGAGGTCTATGCCTTCACCTCAGTTCCTATTGCAAAGTCACAGTATAGGAAATGTCGGGTAAAGCCATAGATCTCTTACGAGTTCCCTTCTATAAAGATGAGCAGTGTTGAGCCAAGTCAGGACCTCAGCGTAGAAAGACTAGTTTATAAATAGACATGTAGAACTGCAAGGTTCCCGTCACTGAAACCTTAACTCAGAAGAAATGAGCTAAAATGCATGCAGTCACACATTGCTGTAGCATTGCTTTAAGATGTCTACAAACAGATGAAAGTTGACTGCATGGACAAGGGTTTCTTTTTTTTCCTGTATGTTATACAGATTCCAGATTTGAAACTGTACTTGGCTGACATTCTCTTGTGGCATCTTTAGGCAACACAGGTAATTATAATGCACAAATGCAGTAACCCATAGCAACAAAGAAATCTTAGCCAGGCTACAATAATCTGCAGTCTGAGTGCAGTCTGAAATTTGCACATTAGTACTCCTCACTCGTGCAGTTCATTATTGTGATGGATGATTCTAGTCTGTTTAACCACCTACCATTCTTTCAGTGAATTAAAATATGCAAAGCCATCAATGAAGCCTGAGGCCACCATATATGTTATGAAAATGCATGTAGGTTGGCACTAGGCATTTTTTTTTTTTTTTTAATGGAAGCAACTTTATCTCAGGTGGGAGTTCTCAACAAATGAACAGTACAAAAATTCCCCACCAGGGAACCTTTTTAAAGTATTAATGAACTCCCTCCTATTACCTAGTAAGTGCCTGTTTGCTTCTAGTGAATGTATTAATGATTCCATAGTCAACTGTGGACGCTAAAGTGTATCTAAAGCTACATTGTTTATGTTCTGGATAGTTCATGGAACAGTTGGAACCGGTCGGTCTCCATTGAGGAGATTCACCATCTCTATTTGTCCTGGTAAACCATTGACAACATTGGAGTTGTCAATGGGTCAAGAATAGAGGACAACTCTTCCAATGAGGTTACTTGTTCTGGTGGAAACTGTCTCCTTAATTTGGAGAGACCTCCACTTCCTGTAGTGTCTCGAGACAGGAAGTGAAGGAAAATCTTCTTAAAGCGGATCTTTACACTCAAAAATCAAATTCTACCAATGCATCCCTCTATGTATGTTGATTTAATAATAACATACACGTGTCAGGTGTAAAATGCTGTGATTGTGATATACTTGCACTTGCAGAGCATTCACTTCCTGCGTTGAAAGGGCAAAATTACATCAGTTTGGCAAAGCAATGCGCACTGGGATTGCCTTGTCATCAGCAGAGCCTTGCTGGGATATCTCATCTGTAATCTCAGGAGATCTCAGGGAAAGGCATTTTCCTCCACTAAGATGACGTGCATGGTCACATGTCCTAGTCACATGTTCTGGATGTCAGGAAGTAAATGGGGAGCTAGTAATCTGCCCTTAGTTAACATGGCCGCTACCAGAAGGCTGGGAAAAAAAGAAATAAGGAATGCAAAGAACACAAAGCCAGCAATGATCTAGAAGTATCTGTTTGTAGATTGTCATTACTAAACATTTCTAAAGGTGTGTTTGTTAGTTTAAAGACATGTGTAAAGGTCTTTAATGTGACAAACATTCACTTCTTTATCCAAAACAGCCTTCGTCAGCCACAGAACATACAAGAAAAGCCTCACAAATGGCTGGTGGTGTTTGCATTCACTTCTCTATTCTCAGGTTGAAAGTAATGAACAGAAGAATGTTAAAAATCACAGACTCTGGCAGCCATTTTGTGAGAATGCTAATGGAATAGACATGCTGAGAACCTCAACCAATCATTTGTTTGATCCTTTCTTTCAAGCAGTCTACTGGTTGAAAACTCTTCAATGTGGTGGGAATTGCAGCTTATGAATCCTAGTATTTATTCAGTATCTGGGGCAGGTCTGTGCTCGATTCTTTGTCTTCATGGGTTTGTCAATGAGTTCTTGTTTGTCTCAGGCCTCCCAGGTCCGGCTCTCCAGAATCCATGAAGGGAAAACCTTCCCCGCAGAGCACCAGCAACGTAATGCAAGGACAGATAAAACAAGGTAAGCACAATGTTTGTTTAAGGGTGAAACAACCACTTCCTCCTAAGCCATTAAATTGTATGAAGTCACACCTAGGATATCACTGGTTAATCATTGTATAAAAAAAGAAATCGGTTCTCCAAGTGTAGAAATGGCGTGAATTATTTTACCTAAAGTCCTACTCTAGGCACAATAAACTTACCAGGCAGCAAGCAAGTATAGTTGCCTTAAAAGCAACATTAGTCAAATCTGCTCAAGTATACATTGAAGGAAGTACAACTCTTGCTGTGGGTGTAAGCTCTGATGGGTCTTATAGACCTCAGCGCCATGGTCTTGTCGCTGCCTCCTTCCCCTTGTGGTCATTCACAAAGCCTCAGCTTTGTATTGTTAATGACCAGGAGCAGAGAGAGGCAGAGACACGACTGTGTAATTGGGGTCTATGAGACCTTCTGCAGTGCTTACATCCACAGTGGCACAGAATTACAGCAGGAGCTGTACTTCCCTCAACACATAAACCAGCAGAGTTAACCAATGTAGAAAAAGAAGCAGGACATGGGGTTGCTTTCCAGGTAACAGAATTTATACTTTCTTGAAGCATAGTAAGCTTGTGTCTGGAGTAGTGCTCTAAAGGTGCTGTTTAAGATGTCTAAAACACTTTCTGGAGATTTCTAAGGATTATCTTTTATAGAAATTTCTGTTTCATTCCTAACATTTCACACAACCTACCTGTTTCAGGAAAAAAACTTGGTAGGTCCAAAAGAGCCACATAACAGCATGTAATGAATAAGGCCCTGTTCATACCGGTGCATGTGCATCAATGTGTAATATACATTTTTGTAAGTTTTAGGACTTATTTTTATTTATTTTTATTCCTAATGCATTCTAAAATCGGTAAATTGTACGCTGTGATTGTTCAACTTAAAACAGAATCTGCCATATAGAGACTAACCTTGTTAGCACAAGTGCTGATTTTCACCCCTCATTGCCAGGGTAGGGCTGCAAGGCACTGAGCCATTTAAGGGCAGATGTGGTAAACTTGAAGTGACACTAAACTCAGGAGTTAAACGTAAAAATGCATTCAAGTAGCTTAACTATTAACAAAAATGCAGCTCATCTGTGTATCACTCTGCTTTAGATCATCTCTGAATTGGTGCCGACACTGTCCTTCCTTCTGGAGGGTGGCTACTTTTGTTCCCCATGGTCCCTGTGTGTGTTGTAAGTAGCCACCGCTCCAAGCTCACTCCTGTGATGGACTACAATCTCATGTTTGGTTTACTAATTTGTAGGGATGCACCGATACTAGTATCGGTGTCGATGCTGAGTATTTGGGCGAGTACTCGTACTCGCCCAAATGCTCCGATGCCTAGCCCGATACTTGCGGTATCAGGAAACCGGGCAGCGAGTCATTACACTCTGCCCGGCTTCCTGATTGGCTGGGAAGCCAGCTCCATGCTTTCTTGTCACCTAGTGATGAGAAGCATGGGGACAGCTTACCTGGTGATCGGGATGCCGGATGACGAGTCTTTACACGCTTCCCGGCTAATCAGGAAGCTGGGTAGCGAGTCATTACATGCCGCCTGGCTTCCTTAATGGGACTTCCGGTATTCGGTATCGGCGAGTACCGGAAAAAAAAATATCGGTACTCGTGCTCGATACCGAAATACCAGTATAGGTGCATCCCTACTAATTTGTATTGAGATTTTAGTGCACCACAAGAGTGAGCTTGGATCAGTGACTACTTTACAACACACACAGGGACCATGGAGAATAAAAGTAGCCCCCCTCCAGAAGGAAGGACAGTGTCGGCACCAATTCAGAGATGATTGGAGGTTCTACAGCCGAGAAATACACAAATAAGATACATTTTTGTTAGGGCTACGGAAATGAACGATTAATCCCTCGATTAATTGTTAATTTTTTGATCGATCAAAATAATTTTTATAGGTACTCACCTCTCCGCCGGCTTCCGGGAGTTACGTCGCAGATCCGGTGACGTCACGGACATCCACGTCACCGGACTCCTCCCCCCTTCCTAAAGTGGCTCTGTCTGCTAACGAAGGGAAGGGGGAGAAGTCTGGTCACATCGACGTCTGTGACGGCTAACAAAGGTAAGGGGAAGGAGTCCGGTGACGGCGATGTCCGTGACAGCTAACGAAGGGAAGTGGAAGGAGTCCGGTGACGGCGATGTCCGTGACGTCATCGGACTCCTCCTCCTCTTCCCTTCGTTAGCCGATGGAGCCTATACACATACAAGATTGTTTGCAGCTTGACATGTACACATGGGGTGGGTCGGGTCACCACTTGGGGAAGGGGAGGAGTCCCCCCCGGTCCCCTTATTACTTCATTGCTGTGCTGTATGTGTATAAGCCAATGTAGTTGGATCTGTATGTGCGTTATAATTAATCGATTAAAATTTTTTTTGATCAAACACGAAAATTTTAATCATTACCACCCCTAATTTTTGTTAATAGTGAAGGTACTTGAATGCATTTTTAAGGTCCTCTGTTTACTGTCACTTTAAAGGGAAATATCATGTTCATATATTCAGTTATTCTTCCCGGGTTTCACTTTTAAAGTAATTTTGATGTAACTTTCCACATTTTTTAAAGCTTGCTCTTTTTGTTATTGTGTTAAATATAGAGGTTAGCAGATGGTTAGTAAAGTGAGCTCTGAATTTCACTTGGACACATTTTAACGTGTATGTAAACCCTAACACACACTGAAGATGTCAGCATTTATTTATTTTTTAATAAAACTGAATTTTATTGGATGTCTACACTGGAAGCCCTGCCTTGAACCTCCCGTTCTAGACGCGTTTCACCCCAGAGACAAGATTAGTCGTTAAAAAAAGTAAAAAAACACCCCTTGCTTGCTATATTGAAAAAACACACATTGATTAGACACACCATGCTTTTTTATTTTATTTAAGAACACATCATAAAGACTCCACATTCCCTTTAACAAGCCACACGCTTCTTCGGTGGGGTGAGGATGCCACTGGCAGTTTAGCTGAATGCATTAAGCTCTGTAGCTCCAGAACACAACCAGCTGCGTTTCACGTGTACAAGTCTGCTCTATCTCTGCACGTTACATTTTACACAGACGCTTTGAAGTGGTTGACATTTAACTGTGTCATCAGCATTTTAAAAGGGATGTTCTACATGGAGATAATAAAAGATTGATTATGATTATACCTGTAGTCTCTGGGGTACAGCGTAAAATGTTACAAAGTAGAGGACTGGCGATCCGGAGTCTAGTTTTCTTTAGTAAGTCATATTTTTGCCAACTCCTTTTCATTTTGACACATTCTAGTGACCTGAGTAAGAAGCCCTTATTAAATTTGCAGGCGTATCAATGCTTTTGTGTGAAGTGGTGAAATAGATTGCATGAAGACGCTGACAGTTTAATCACAAGCACATCTATGTAGCTGTCATAACTCGAGCTTAGTGAACTGCTTGGGGGCTCGTTATCATGAGCACCCCTCAGTAGAGCATCCAGTGGTGTGTTTATGTGGTGACATACAGAAGTTGCAATCAATGTTAATGCTGGGACCCTTTGCTGCCTGCTAGAACCATCTTTTATAGTAGAGGACAGTAAATACTTACTCCATTGCTGAGATAGCTTACCAGATGACCATTTCTATCCAGATGCCACAACCAGTAGAGAGAGAGGTGATGGTCTCACAATGGCCCCAGTGGGTTCTCTATACTGTAACTTTCTTTTAAAGTGACTCTGTCACCAGTGACAAAAAAATGGCTGCCAGCAGGTACAACCATAGTGCACAGCAGGAGGAAGCAGGTATGCATTAAACCCAAAAGGGTTTCATTGGAACTCGCATAGACCTTAGTACCACTGTATTATAATCCACTGTAAACAACACAGTTGTGGGTGCAGGCATCTCCAGAATCCCTTTTCTCCCCACATAGCCCAGCATAATAAACTATCAAAGGCATACAGCAATGAAACATAAACAGAAAACGAACACATATCTCTCTCTCTCTATAGAGATATCTATATATATATCTCTATATTGTGTGTGTATGTATGTAAAACCTTAAAAACTCAAAAAAACTTCAATAAAATATTTAGCATCACATAAAGTGAAAAAAATATATGTGTATATATGACATATAATGTGCACACTGTGCCAAAAGTCCAAGAGCCAAAGTGCAAACATTCCAAAGAGTGTGTCTTCCCCCGTGCTTTACCAGGCCCCCTAAGTAATAAACTCACCGAATGTTGTGTGACCTTTTTTTTTTAAAAAGGTAGGTCAAAATGCGCAGAAATAAATCTCTAGACCCGATCATTCAGAATTCCTCCTCACCATTTTTGCACTATAGCCACCATCCAGAGCACCCAATGGAAGAACATTGCGCAGAATATTTCCCCAGGGATTAATGCTTGGACTTTGTTCTCAATACACATGTACCAGATCCGTCATACGAGAGAAAAAGGGGAGGCTCATAGTGTAAACTTTAACCCTTTTACCACCAAAGCAACCAGTCAAGTGCATAAAACCCTCACTGGGTACAGATAAGCAAATGCTCACTAGCGCATAGATGTGCTCCATCACTGTTCAACGCATTTCATCATGACCGACGTCATCGGGAGCAGTCAGAGCACTGAATGTTATGAAGCCGCACACCACTAATTCCGAGAAGCTTAAATCTAATTTCATTGTTCCAGCACAATAGAGGACACTCCATGCAGCATCTCTTCTGACCTGTTTTACCTCCTATACTGGAGTTTAATGGTAGAATGATCTGCAAATACACTGTCCATACACGCAGAATGCAATACAAAATCCTTTTTATGAAGGCCACATGCTTCCAACACAATCAAGCAAATGTGGACTGTGAGATTTAGCTTCCAATGGTAGCGCATTAAGGATGCATCCACTTGCTTATGACTTCTTCTTTTAAGGGCTTCCTTGCCCACTTTTATTGAATCCAATTCAAAAGGCCACAAACTTTTACCCTCGCAGGGGTTTCAAACACAAAGTACAGTTTTCTTTCTTCAGC